ATTCTGTAGTTAAATTGCATTAAAATTTATGAGAGACCTGCTTTTGCAAATCATAGAAAAAGTAACTCAGTTTCACACTACTATAATCTTAAATTAGTCTAGAATGTGAAATCGATTTTTCAAAAGCCAGTGTACGCTTATACAATGTTAATAAAAATCTTGTGTCCATAACTACACATGATAGCCATAATGTGACAGTGTAGAATTTTCTTATCCAAGAAAATCATTGAAGTGTATTTTTAGTCATGCAATTTTAATACATACATGTAAAATATTACAAAATTGGTTAAACCACATGTCTAAATTTAATAATGATCCATTTCCCTAACATAGTTCCTCTTAGATTTAATAGCATCTATTATTTTCCTAGTCTTGCTATGCCCATTATCACTTTATTTCAATGCAAAATATATGTAAGGAGAGAGAACCTGCAGCAGCAAATATTCTTTCTTTTTTTTTTCCTTGAAGGAAGGCAATATTTTGTTATACTCACCAATACATGTCTTATGTATGAATTCTGTAAGATTTTACTCTGAATTATTAGCAAAAATATTTTTAAGCTATAAAACATTGCAAATATGTATACAGTATTATAAAATTATAGCTTAAATTATAATGAATTATTTATTCCTTAATTTTAAAATGGGGCTTAAAACAAACATATTTTTAAGTTCCTGAAATAAAGTCAAGATACGGAGATGTCTTTCATGACACAGTCTTGGTCATTTTAATTTCTCTCTAGAAGCTGGTATTGACAACCTCAAAGAAGTAAAATCATGAGAAAACACTAGTTCTCTCAGTTACCATACTTATCAAAACAGAATCTAAGGCAGGATCACAAAATATGAAATATCAAAACAGATAATAAAAAGTGGGAGGGGATAACACTTATATACAACTCTGGGTTCATATTCATAAGCCCATTGTAGTCACATTAATTTAATATCAGTATCTTCCTACAGAAATCATAGTATTGTATCCATTTAACATATGCATTATATTAGTACTTATCCATGCTAATACTTATGCTATAATAATTAATTTAATTTTAATTTGACTGTGGCAGTTTTACTTACTCTAACTGTAAGTTTTATATAAAATAAGACATATAAAGGACGTGTTGACTTCGACCACACATCTAAACGGACATATTTTGAAAAATGTCTGGAGATGGATGATGTGTCGGTTCCACAGCAGTGTGAAGACATTTGATGGCTCTTCTGATGAATTATGTGCTTATGAATTATATAATAAACATGCTGAAACTGTATTGCATGCTTGATGTGCTAAACTATGTTTAAAAAGCTATACATAAATTTTAAGTTATATGTAATATACAATAGAAAAATTTAAAGATATAAAATGTTACTGTGATAAAGCTGTATCACATGCTTTTTCAAATAGTAAAGTAAAATATTCATAGTAATGATTGTCTTTCTAAAATAACTAATTATAATCCTAATGTTATAGAATATTTATCATATTGATTTCATGCACTGAATAATACACTATATGCTTATAGTTTAAAATTTTCTGCATTACAACTACTTTCTAACATCAATAAGCATTAAATATACAAATGTGGGAAACTAATAGATTGCTGATATGAAAGCATTTTCACCTTTTACAAATTTTAAATGGTGTTGAAGATTTTATAGATTTTTATTTTCATTTTGGGGGTTAAAATGTCATTTAATTATCATATGTGATACATACATGAATCTATTTGAATTTAATTTCCAACAAATTATTTCATAATTTATACCAAAAAATTCAGAATTATCCAGTTTTAAAGAGACCAATTAACCCTGGGTTCATTTTAAAGAATGTATCACTTTATATTACTTATAAATAAGGCCATCATAATCATTTGGTCCTTATTTAGATGCTAGGATAAGTAATAGCACTATAAATACATATGAAACCAAAGAGCAATATAAACGGCAATGCAATTCTAATAGCAATATAAATAAGGGCATATCTTTATTTTTCTCATTCCAAATGAATAACAAAAGATATCCTTTCATAAATATTTAGACACCAGGAATTTTGATGAGAATCTGCCTTTAAAAATTACTTTAAACTGTATTATATACTCAGATGTGGAAAATTTTAGATAATTAGGTTTTCATGCATTTTATTTAACAACAGCAAAAGGAATCATAAAAGGCAGCTACATGGCTGGAACTAATGGAGACTATTTCTGGGAAATTGCTATTATCCTTGATTTTTTATTTACTCATATCTACCACAAGGTGATAAATTTGACAAAAATTCTTCTTAATGGTTTCTGTGCATGAAGAACTAGTTATCATTCTATTAATGAAGTCCATCATCATACACTCTTTTCCTGTCTAGTGGTCTGAGGCATTGTTAGTATCAAGATTTCTGTCTCCAGTAAAAATCAATGCTTAAAAAAATCTATTACATAGTTTACTCTAGAATTGCTTCACCCTTAGTTCTAAATAATAAGCAGTGTATAAATATGCATGTACCCAATTAAAGTTCCTATTATAAATATACAATATTCATGCTGTTTTGTGCAATATTTTCTAAAGGTTTTGGAATCTATCTATTGTTGGAATCAATTAAAGGGAGAACATGTGTTTTGACTTATATTATTTTTATTTTGTCTTATACTTAATTCTTAATTTTTGCTCTGAACTTAATTTCATCTTTGAATGAATTTATTTTGTCATTTTCATCCTATCTACAGGTATTTCAACATTAAATCCTTAATCGTTCCTCTCCTACATGTCAGATTTAATTAATACATCTACTGTAAGTATATTATCACTATTAAATATTCTCTAATACAATGCCTTCACCAATCTCTACCTGTCCTCTTTTCTCTTTCTTTCATCTTCTCTGCCCCTGAGTAATGTTTTTCAAAGGCTAAAGAAATCTAAAGACATATGTTGTCCTTACTGATATGTCTATATATTCTATGTATTTTGTGTACTTCTGTATATTATATAAAATATAAAATTAATATATATTATACTAATATATATATATATATATTAATATAAAAGGAAATAAAATTAGAAAAACTGACACATACTATCAGCTGGAATCTGAAAAAGAAAAAAAAATACATGGATTCCCATAATAAAATAGTATCAACAACAAAACTTGCTCAGCACTGATATTGCCAAGGTATCTTCATCACCATAATTTTGAAGATAATACAATATAGGTGTAACACTTTTCACATTTGTCTGTGACTTTATTTATTTTAAAAGATTTGGTTTATCTTCCACATTGATGTTTTCTTAACTACATCCTACTTTTTATTTATTTATTTTTTTTAGCTCTACTTAAGGGAACATCTCTGTTTTCTTTCTTTACTTGTTTTCAATATTTGATCTCACCCTACTGGTTTGATGAGGAGGATAAGAAATGAAGAGGAAAAGGCAGGTGTGTTGACACAACTTTGTAGATTACCTGCACTTGACTGACAATATTCCTAGGCAACATTAATGCCCAGTTAAGTATTAATTAACCTTATTTAATTACTATATCAGAGATTAGTACACACTTCTGAGGAAATTTAAATTTTAGTTGTTTGATCCATTTGCATGTATAGTGTCAAAAATTGATGCCTTTTAAATCAATGTAGCATTTTTAAAGATGTGTTTACAAGTTTAAAAAGTAGCATTACCATATAAAGGATTGATTCAATTAGGTTAAGCTACTGCAGTAAGTAGTATTGAATTCAGCATGCAGTCTATTAACATGTGTTCTATAAGAGTTGATAAAATAACTGCTTGCACAGTTTCTGCTTTAACTGTGGCATGGACCATTCATTTGGATCACTGTCTGCATGCCTGATTTACAAAAGAATTATTCAATATTCAAAAGCAAATCCTCTAGAAACAGGGAACCTCATTTCACTTAAAAGAGACTAGAAAGTCTTCCCTGTGCACATCTTTCTGTTCTTTTTGAGCTTCCCATAGATTCTCACATATTAAACTGTAACTTAAATGGTTTGACTTAAAAATGAGACTGACTTCAAAAACACAGATCAGGATGATTGGTGATCTTGTTATTTCGTTTGTCAACACTTTCCTTTCCCCTCCTACTAAGAAGTCTATATTAATTCAAATTCACCATCTATAACTCTTGATAAAATATCAATCAAAGGTCCCAAGTGTAACCCAACAACAAAAAAATAAAAATATAAACGAACCGTAAAACTACATCTATTTTATGGCCAGGAGAATTTTGAAAAGTCTATAATTTTTTTATATCATTCTTCATTTTGTGCATTTTTTCATCTTGTTTGTAATCCCCATGGACTTCCCACAATCAATTCACCCATGTGCCATTTTTTCCCCTCCCTTACGTTCTTGCTATGAGTGACACTATCCAGTTAGAAAGCTTATACTTTTTTTTTTTAGATTTATTTATGCCTACAGAACTGGGGTACAGTCCAAGGGTGCCGGGGTGGTGAGAGGATCCCCCAGTGACAGAGTGGGGAGCAGAATAGGCAGCTGGCGAGGTACACTGCTGAGGGGAGCAGCGGGCGAGACAGGAGAGGCCTGCTGTACCATGGTGTCACCTCCCGGCGGGGGATAGAACTCACACTGAAGCGGCTGCAGCTAGCTTGCAGTGCAGCTTCCTCACATCTGTGCCACCAGGGAGGGCTCAAAAGTCTATACTTTTTTAGATATAAGAAAACAAACATAATCTCTACCAACTCTGAACTTTACACATTTGTTAATATTTACATAAAATAATACAGAAATATTAACACATAATAAATAGTTCTGGGGCAGAAAAGTAAGATCAGATATTCATTTGTTTAATGTGTGGTACATTGAATAGGCAACTATTTAGTATAGGCAACTTCTTAGGCCAACATTTAATCACAGCTTAAATATTTAAAGGGCACTCATAATATGGTTTCACATAAAAATTTTACCTGTCTTGGGATCAATGGAGAAATAAGGTTGTCCCTGAAGGATACTGTAAACGACTCTGGCGCTGTTTCCGTACGTGGGGTCATCGGCATCTGTGGCTTTGACCTGGAGCACATACGCACCTGGGAACAGAAAGAAGATGATTCTAGCATCTTCGATTTGCAGACCTCAAGGGCAGATCAATTATCTGCTGGACACCATTTTCCTCTGGAATTTGGCCTTTCGCAATCAATGATTCTGTCAGTGTCTGATGTCAGAGAATAACTATTTTAACCAAAATGTTGAGTGACAAAGCTGTTAGTATAAAGAATACGCATTTTAAAGACTTTTCAAAAAATAATTATGCATGCGAGAACTGGTAACTCTGGTACAGGCCAGAGGTGCAGGGATGGGAGGATTTACAAAAGACAAAGTGGGGTACAGAACAGGCAGATGTACTGAAATACACTGCTGAAGGGCGCAGTGGGCAGGACAGGAGAAGCCTGCTGTGCCATGTGGGTCAGCTCCCTGGCCAGGGATGGAACTCTGCTGCAGTGGCTTGGAGCTCCTCTTAGCTGTGCTTTAACCAGCTGAGCCACCAGGGAGGGCTCAAAAGACTATTTAAAAATGGGTGTCCATTTCTGGTAGCTAGACATTTAGTTGAAGGTCACTGTGATAGGTTTATTGATTTACTATAGATGCTTACTATCAATGTTTTATGGTTATGCTTTCATGGTTACAATATCAGTAGAAAAGTTTAAAGGCTTGAAGGCTTACCAAAAATTTAGAAAAAATTAGAAGGTGCAAATACTTTGCAATTTAAATGTCAACAACTGCATAATATGTGTATGTGTATGGGAGGTGGCTAAGGTGCCATGGTGGGGTTTATAGTCTGGTTATTTGCATCTGAAGGGGTATAGCCTCATGGCTGTGAATCATCATCATTGTAAAGCAATGTGAGATCAATTTTGAAAAAGCTTTAATTAGGACAGAATATATGAGACAGGACTGCTAATAATGATAATTATAGCTACAGTGGCACCTCTAAGTCTTAAAAGCTGAATGAATTTAAGGGCTCAACACAGAAAAACATTAGAGACCATCCAAATTATCTGTAGCTTTTCTTAGTTTTTAAGAATCAGTTATTTTATGTACTAGACAAAATTGAAAGGGCTTTTTTTCCCTATGTTTTTTCATCTATTTATTATGATAAGCTTCTCTGCTAGTGACATTTTCGATAAGCTTCTTTGCTAGTGACAATTTAAGTATCTCATTGTTTTGTTTGATGTTACTATTCTGAATTTTAAAAGGTGAAACCAAACATATCACATTTAATATAAATATAAATATTATGTTACTAATGGTTAGAGACAGATAACAACTGAGCCAGTGTAGAAAAGGAGAGAGATTGGTAGGTCTAAAGTTGAGGAAGGATCAAAACCTCCGTCTCAGAGACTTTCAAACTCATTGTTTGGCTTTGAGAATATGAAACTCTTTTTTTTTTTTTTTTTAATTTCAGTTCCTCATCAGGCTTTACATTTTCAGCAGTACCATATGG